ATGTGAATGAAAATGTCGAGGAAAATCTTGACAATCCTCCTACAGAGAATTTACTCGAAAATCAAGTGATTCCATCATCCTCGTCTTCTTCAAATGAGGAAAATAAACTCGAAAATAAATATTCACCTGTAACCCTGGAAGATTGTTCGAATGCTTATTTTGCAGGATATACTTGGCAAAAAATGTATCGATAAATTCAAATGTAATCCTTGTGCAAATAATTTGATAGTTAACGATTTCGACAATATAATGAATGACGAAAAACAATTATTGATAATCAATAAAGATTATAGTAAGAACATACAACATCTAAAATACCCCACTGACGAATTCAAGACTATGGTTGATGTAGCTTCAACTTCTTTTTCAAAAACATTCCTCAAGAAACCATATATAAATAGAACAAAACTATTCATCAAGAATAAAATTTTCAGAAAGCTGTCGAAAAAGTGTCCCATCTTTCATAACGAAGTTGAATGCAGAGAACATATGGAATTCATAGTTGATCAGTTAACGTTATGTAAACTTCATAAAGAGTGTAAAAATGAATCCTAGCTAGATCGATTTATCGCCCTCGAAACCCTCTGTATACGGAATTTCATGAAAATCGTTGGAGTCGTAAATGGTTTGGCGTGCTATGATCTTGTTACACCCGGTATATACATTTTCCGAAAATGAATCCTAGCTAGATCGATTTATCGCCCTCGAAACCCTCTGTATACGGAATTTCATGAAAATCGTTGGAGTCGTAAATGGTTTGGCGTGCTATGATCTTGTTACACCCGGTATATACATTTTCCGAAAATGAATCCTAGCTAGATCGATTTATCGCCCTCGAAACCCCATGTATACGAAATTCATAAAAATTTCATAAAAATTGTTGGAACGGTTTCCGAGATTCACATTATACAAGTATTGCTCGTTTAAAGATATAATATTTTAATCATAGGTTTCCTGCCCTTATGTGTGTGCCGCTACTGCCGCTCGTGTGCAATTTTCGTGTGTCGATGCAGCACGCCCCTGTCTACCATTCATCAATGGAGTTGAAAATGTTTTCATTGGCTATCCTAATTCATTCATGTTCACTAGCTGTCTCCTAATGGTTATAGGAAACTGTGATTTTTCCTCAAAGACGCGTAGTGTGTCTACTAATATGCAGATGGCGACAAATTCGCACGTGCAGAAATCGGCCCATATACATTGCCTATCTATTGTTTGTTTAATCTATGCTTATAGCTAGTTCCTTATTGTATGTAAAACTATGTACCCGAGTGATATAGTTTAATTCATGAAGATCGTTTTGATTTTCCACCTTTTGCTGCATTCACTTTCCATTGATAAATTTTGAATTTGGTCGGTATTGACAACGCTATTCAATGATATTATATCAAATTGAAATTTACTTGATTTCCTCAGTTTAGTTCTTAAAATTTCAATTTCATTACGTAGTTTTGCAATCAATTCCTGTTTCTCTATGATAATTTTGTTTTGCATTTTTTCATGTGATAATAATATTGGATTTTTTTCAAAAATCTGTTTTGTAAATCAATGGAACAGTCTCAAGATATAGATCATTCCAATCTGGTGTCATAAGAAGTGAATTTTAATGTATGTTCTTACCTCACAAATTTTGATTGTCTTCAAATTTATTTTCCATCCAGGCCGCTTCATACATTCCTTCCGTAAGAGAATGGTTGATATTTTCTTAGGAAAATTAATAAATGAAATCGCCATTCCGTTCAAAATTCCCACAGCAGTACGTTTTCATTCATGCTTATTTCTCAATAGTTTCTGGAATTATATTCCAATTCTGACGTTCATAATATTTAGGAGTCAAGTCATAATGTTTGTCGGTTACTCAACCGAAAAGATACATACAATAATGATGGAGATGGAAAGCCCTAATTTCGAGTGACAATGGAAAATGAAAAAACTCCACCGGGGCGGTGGAGGTTGTGAGTTCGGCTCTCACACGGGGCGGTGGAGTTTTTTCATTTTCCATTGTCACTCGAAATTAGGGCTTTCCATCTTCATCATTATTGTTCATAATATTCACGGTACGACTATGATCCCTTTGTCACAATGCAAGGTGTGTAACTCACAGAACTCAAAGACCTAGAAGGCCAATATCGTTCTATTCTAGTGTTCCCTAACGTGGCTTGAACGGCAAATGTGAGCATGCGCAGTAGAGACGCGACCGTGCCAGGGGTGGCTTCAGAATTATTGCAAAACCAGGTTTTTGTGGCTTTGTTAACAGAGCAAAACATTGTGAAAAATGTATATGATATTTATTATGTTATTAAGAGCACTGTTTTGATGTATTCTTAATCAACAATTCATTGGATAGAAATGGGCGAGCTAATATACATGGTGATTCAGGCTATATTATGGTTTATCAAAAAATAACTCGGCATGCTTATAATTTTTTAAAAGTTTTTCAAGTGAGATACCTACATTCCTCCAACTCCATATTTGATAAACGTTTTCTTGTTATAATTCTTGGGATATAACACAACATTTGGTGCAAATACTTATGAAATAATTATTCGTTGTTGGACGCAACTAAGTTTTGTCAAAATTGTCTAGTGGAGTAGATGCACTGCCGCCCTTTGTAAACCACTGAAAATTTTTCAGAATTGAGTTATTTTCCCAAATTTCCTGTTCAATTCAGCAAGGAATGCATTCTTCTGGAATTTCGATTTTGGCTTCGTTTACGAATTAATTGAATTAAAAAAAAAATTGCGAAAATTGGATAGTTCAGTTGAATAAACAGGACGCAACTTCTCAAAAGTGGCATCTCGCCCAAGAGCATTCATCCAAGCAACGTGGCAACTCTTGGTTAGCCTAACATTTTATTGAATATCATCAATTCCAGAGATCTGTAACTTCTTGCCAGATATTTTAGTTTTGGTAATTTTACCATGACAACAAAACAGTACATGGTTTAACGAGCAAGGAAAATTGACGTTCCATAGGAGATGAGAGTTTGTGAAATAATAACACAATGAAAGTCATTGTGTTATCAGATACGGAAATAAAATTGATGACCTACAAAGTACCTCACTGATTTATCGGACACAGTAAAACAAGATCAATTTTGTGTTATAGCTGTAGAAAAAATATATAATAGCACAAAGCTTGTTGGCGATATAAATTTACCTCAAGTTAGACATTCCTGGAATTTGTTCTTTATCTTGACACCAAATCATTCATTTTAAAAACACTGGTACACAAATCAGTCAATGAATGTCGAATCAAATGATTACTGTACTCATAAACTAAACAGGAAACCGAACTGGAGTGAAATACCAAAACTCTTCAATAATCTCTAATTCACTTCCAAAAACTTTGAACGCGAAGCAAAACACTGGATAATTGAAACTAATCCGGCTCTGTCTCAATTTTACGTCATGAACTGATAAAATATCAGAAGTTCATAACAATTAATCGATCTCTTGTCAGCCATTCAATCAATGTCAGTGAGTCTGAATTTTGTCGCGAAAATATTATTTATGATTTTTGTGAAGCTGTTGATCATCAGTTACAAGAAGTTTTATAACAAATGTGAACTACATCCTAATACATGAATATGAGATTTGCGTATAAAAATATAAATCTGACATTGTTGCCAACAACATGCGCATGATCACCATTGCCGCAAGCACACTGGTTGTATCAGATCTCAACGATTTCTCACACTTGCATTAGCCTTCTAGGTCATCTAAACATTCAAAAACACTAACAGTTGTCATTTCTGTGTCCGAACTATTATCTAACTAATACCATCCAGTGACTAATTGAAGCTATAGGCGAATCATGCTAAGGAGTACGCCCTCTACTGTTGTCTAATATAACTAACGTATGGGCCATTGATTGCTTTGTTTACATTAGTTTGCATGTATTTTGTATGAGAAGTAGTTGTGTTTTAATTGTCTATAATTTTGTTTGAGAACTTCTATAAACGTTTAAAAACATGAGTCATTATTGTTGTGTACCTCATTGTTCATCTTGAGCAAAAAAAATCCCGAGTATAGCTTTCATTCCTTTCAAAAATCAGGACAGTCTAAATTTGTATTTGAAACTAATAATTTGGGGAACAAGGAAGTGATCGGTAGGAGAAAGGTGTGGATTCATAACTTGAAGATTGGAAAAAGTGTCTGAACATAATGAGATATTGTTTTTTACACTTCACTGAAAATTTACTCATATAGGTAGGTATATTTTCAAATGTATGTCTATTATGAATATAATACCTACTTCTTGCGGTGATGGTAAAAAAACAAACACATTTTAAACTAATTATATCTTTACTCATGAACAGTAGAAATTTCAAACAGTAAAGAATTTTATCTATCAGGGTTTTGATGATTATGTTGTAAAAAGTCAAGTAGAAACTGTATACCTAAATTCACCTTCGAAAGAACATTTTGGATTTTCTTTTAAAAATATCATGCTAGCAGGGGAATATCCCAGCCATATATTCGAATTGGAAATCAACATCATCCCACACAGATTTTCATGAGAATTCATGTTCAATAATGATAAAAACTTACAGCTTATGTATGTTGGTATATATGAAGTTCAACTAGAGGTAGGGAGGTTATCTAATGTTGAACAGATATTATATAGTCCTCAATCAAAACACAATAGACCGCTGGAAAATACAAAGTTTGAAAATAGACAAATAACAAAGCTGAACGTTTGAAAACTCAAAACGAAATGAACATAAACACCATTACCAAATAATATGAACAATCCGCCAATGGCCCATAGAGTAGTACCGACATTCGCCGTTCTGGCGCTACGATCTTAATCTCAGTTGCCTATAGAAACATAGATAATCGAGAAAAAACACTTTTTGTGACCTTCGACCTTGAATAACTACAACGCAGACAAGAAATTGTATGAAACTTTACATCATATCTCCTTCCGGGGGTGACCACTTTTTTGCTCGAGTGACTACATATTGGTTTATTGTGACATTGCTTTGTTTTTGATAGCTGCGCCCCGTGAGCCACCAGCAAAACAAGAAGGTGAAGAGGGCTGGTCCCAAGTTGCCGGAAGACGTCGTTGAACTATTAATCCAGTTTCGCATTCATGTATTCAAAAATCTGTAATAATGTATGCTTAAGAGTGAAAAATAATATGTATTTTCATTTGCATTTCATGGAAAATGGTAGTTGATTTATTGTTATTTTATGCAGAACTGGTTTTATTATATCTACATATGAATGCAGTGCATGGAATAAAATAGTTATTATTTTAATCAAAAATAAATCCATTGAAATTAGATCTGGAATTTTTATTATGACTATTCCACTGATTTTTTGGAGAGCCAATCAGATAATCTCCCACTGTATCTCACGAAATTTGTTCATGGAGCTCAAGTACCTAATATTAAATAAATCATTGTATAATAATACATTTGGTTTGATATTTTATTATAAATTAGTAAAAAATATCAGATACTTTCCAAAATATACAATTTCTAAATAAATAGAAAGTTTGTTCTACGAATTTATAGAACTCTAGAAACAATAAAATCCTCAATATAACATAATGGCTCCATTGGTCTTCTCTTCCAATACAGGAATAACTTTCTCTACATCTTTTTCTATATTAGATATAAAAATTAAAATTATATTTATAAATGATGCTACTGCTGCTCCTGCAACAAACCTAAAATAAAATAATACATTAGTTTTTGCCGTTTTTGTTCAGTTGTACAATGAATTTATATGTTCATCATACAGGGCGTGGAAAGAAATTCTGAATTGAAAAAACCTAGTCACGAATCTGTGATTAGATGTCGGTAAAAATGACAAATTTCCACCGTTCAAGTTTAAACCCCTTGATTGGGTAGGAAAGAATTGAAAAGGAATATTCTCAGAAAAAAAATGGATACATACATAGAGAATGCGAATTCACTGTATTTATATGTACCTATCCATTTTTTTCATGTTCATATTAAATATCTGAGAATATTCCTTTTCAATAACATCAGTTTTTTATAATCCAAAAATGGTGGTTGAATGCTCGAATCGAATCTATAACCAAATCAGAAAATTCATTTAGAAAATCCTGTAAACATATTTTGGCGACTATGTTACTATACCGAGTGACCCGAAACCAATTTACCCTTCTGAATCTTCGTTGCTATTGAGATGCTATTTTGCCATTTTGCATGGATGTTTCAAATTTGGTAAATTGATATGATTGCATGAGTGTATGTTTTTTGCTAGTATCAGACGAAATATTCCAATTTTTTCATTTCAAATACAAAGTATCACTTTTTTCCTGATATTACGATTCAATATAAAATTAAATCTCTAACAATATAATGTAATATGGATAATGAAACAATAGCATATGAGTAACAATAATTCGATGTCAAAGTTCTTATGCAATAATTTTTATGCCCACCAACAGTTTTTTACAATTTTGGTGTTTCTTTATTTTTTAATACCAATGAAATCATTTTTTTTTGTTATGTTATCGTACATATTGAAATACAAGATAGGAAAAAATTTTATTTTCGTGTTTCCTATTTAGTTAAGATTGTATATTGAATCTTTCAACTTCATATTAGTTGGCTATGACATTGAATTTTTTTCCATGGGTCAAGAATTCTTATTGAAACTGCAAAATCTGACGCAACAATAGTAGTTTACCTAACAAGTGCGGAAAATTCACTTTACGCACTTGTTAGGTACACTATTTCTTCTACTAGTGCGGGAAGAACTCAAAAGTCAACATAAAGAAACATTTATTTTTATCAAATATTCAAATGTCAGTATATACTTCCCAGAAATTAACTTTTACGCACTAGTGCGACAAAGTGACTCTTTCGACCCAAAAATGGGTGCGGAAGTGGACACGCTAGTAGAAAAAATATTCAATTTGATAATTTTCCTACAAGTTACGAGGGGAACACGAAATTATTTTGTTGGTAAAATCTCAATTATATGAGTAGATTGTAGATTGGATGTGATATATCATTTGAAAGGTAATTTTATACATAATCATAATTCCCAGAAAAAAATTATACTTAGTATTTGAAATAAAAAAAATTGGATGCACTTCCGGTTAAACCGGAAGTGTCATATTTGGGGTGATACTATCGAAATTATACACTCATGAAATCAAATCGATGTACTTACCAAGTTTGATACATCCTTGCAAAATAGCAACAAAGATACAGGGAGGTAAATTGGTTTCGAGTTACCCGGTATATTTCATAGACCTGAAAAGTAATAAATATCGATGGTCTTTATTAACCTAAGATAGGTTGTTTATGATATGGACATACAATATAATGTAAATTCAACAAATCAGAAACAATAATCATTATTGTACAATAATTTTTCAAAAATAAAAAACATCAAGTATTTGAGTTATAAATGAAAATATTATCATGAAATTGAAGTGTACTACACAAATATTTCTCTTAATCAATAGTTCATATAATTGAACCAGATTCGATAAATCCTAAGGTTTGTATAGGACAGTCTGGTTTTAAGAAATGCTGATATTGATATTGGAATCTTTTGGGATAAAGATTATTATAGTATCATTTGCAATTAGATTCTTTTCAATTCCAGAGTAAATATTGAGTGAATGTAAATTAATAAATTGGTTCCAAAACTGACATTTTTTGTGATGCAATACATATAAAATGAGACAGCTATTTTTCCTACTTTTCAGGTCTATTTGGATTTTTGTTACTTACCAGAAAGAATATCCAAATTCTGCCATATCTTCTGACGTCCATTCATTGTCTTTATCTTCTCTTGATAATACACTATACTGGATATTTGTGTAAAACTGTGCTGTCCATAGACATAAAGCTGAGACATCACACAAAACTAAAATAAAAACAAAATGATTTTATAGTTATACAGGGTGTTTCTGAAGTTGGAGCAATAAATAAAATTGGTAATAGAAGACAGAGAATACAAAAAGCAAGGAAGAGGAAGAACGGGCCTTGAAGTAATTTTACTGTTTTTTTTTTTCAGTAGAGTACAATTTGATCTTTTTACGCATCAACAAGTTTGTTCATCATTAATTGGCGGCTCGGTGGTCGAGAGCGTGAATGCGCTGAGTTCGTATGGGGACTCCCACCGAGACATAGGTTCGAATCCAAGTTAGGCCATGGATGTTTGTGTTTGTATACTTACCTAACCCCGCACAAGTTTCGACTTATGGGGTATGAGGTAATGTAAATGCAAAAAAAAATTCATTTCATAGTTATATTAACTGAATGTATCAAATGGTTGTGCACAAAAAAAAATTTAGAACAAAACAAAATAAAATGTAGTTTATGGAGTCCCTATTTTACGCCCTAGAGGTATATATTTTCCGAGATACCCATACGATACCTATACCTACATTAAGTACCTACATTCAATTCTGCATTCAGAAAAAGGTCCTACGGAGAAAGCGATGACGTTTTGAAAAATTCCATCAATATTTGTTGAGATATAGAAACGTTTATAAAAAACAAATTGTGATGTGAACCACATATGAGTAAAATGGCTAAAAAGAAAACTTGAAACTGAGTAGGAACCTAAAATAAGGATGGACAGACTCCATTCTTAATCTAATGTATCTTCAACGGAGGTGAAACGGATATAGTGGGGTGAAGAGGATCATAGTGTAGTTTCATGATGTGAGCATGCAGGTTTCTGTAAACAACTTGTGTTCATTAGTTCATTGATCAAACTGAGAAGGTATCATCATTACAATATTCGACAACACCAGAATCAAAATAACTTGGTAGAGAAGACAACAACATAAATTTTTGTGTCCTCTTACATCCAAATCCAAAGCAATAGGACATAAATGCTATTCATACTTGGGTCCAAAATTTTTCAACTCGCTACCGATTTCACTTCAGACAAAAAAGAGTAATATGCTATTTAAAAAGAAACTTACTCATTACTTAAAGAATACCTCCCGTGCACTTATACGTTTCCTATTCGATTCGAGCATTCTAGGAAAGTGACATATTATATGAGTACCTATATACATGTGTTGCAAAAACAATTCACTCAACCTCAATTCAAATTTATGTTCAACTTTAATTTCAATGATCATGTACATTATTACTTCATATACATTTTAATATCGTATATCTATATTTTAACATTTTAATATTATTCTTAAGGATACTTGAATTTTGAATTTGAATACTTTTATATTTTCATGTTTCTTCGTCCTCTGCGGGCGAGTCTGCGGGTAAAGTTATTTGTTGTTCACTATTTTTAAATTAATATATGTATGAATTTGTTTTTTTTTGCTCACACACAGGCTGAGGCCTCTGTGAGTTTCCATGTTCAATTGTTAATTTCTTTTCTGATGCAACTTTGTGAATGTAGTAATGTAGCAATTAAACGATTCTATTCTACCGACAAATAACTTATTATAACCCAGTCAACAAGTTTGTTTACACCACATCAGGTGAGTAGACAAAACATGTTGAATTTGTATTTAGAATCAGGTATGTTTTTGAAAGTTTGACAAAACCTACCTGGGGATCCATAGAATACATACAATTTAAAAAACGTGAAACTAACATAAACAAGTCTGTTGTCAATCGTTTGAGCCGGATCTGAAAATTTTAGGTTATATTTTCAAAAAGTTATGGAGGAAAAAACGAATAAGTTCACTTGTTACAGGGTGTCACAGGTGCCGAGAGTTTATAAAAAAATGTGTAAAAAAAATTTGTGCCAGAAGGCAATCGCAGTTTATAATTGTGTGTGGCTGAAGGACTAATGTCCATGGCCATTAAGGTAGGAGAAAAATAAAACATGGTTTCATGGAATATTTGAAGAGGGCTATGAAAGCTGTCATCAAGAGGGGTCGGCTGAGTATAAGGAGGGTGTCCGAACAGTTCTCAGAATAAGTTTTTAATATGAATTTTTTTATCCTCTCCACCCAATATTGACATGTTTGAAGTGATTTTTCAGACATATGAAAGGTAAAATTATTCTCTTCAGCCCAAAATGCGGGGTGAAGCGGATCACATTCTGGAATTTTTAAGCTCTGGAGGAAGGATATAAGAATCTTATATTTTTTCGCACTCTCAAGGAATGTACTCTGCTTGCAGCGCTGAAAAATTCATATTTTTATCCGTTTCACCCCAGAGTTGACGTTACACTATAATGAGGACCTATACTCATCTTAAAAACTATATAGAGTGATATCAAATATTTTTTATAACTAAAGATTAATGAAGTAAAACACAAAGAGAAACCTCACCAGCTAGGAAATTCCAAAGGTATAGTCCTGAAACACCAGTTAGGGTTCTTGATGTGGTAGTCGCAGTATTGGTGGCTGCAAATAGGGCACTAAGTCCAGAAAACAGAAGTCCAGCGCAAACTGCTACCAATGTTCCCAACCATAATCCATACGTTAAAAATTCCGGTTCATATTTTACGAGGTGAATAACTGTAAAATTATCAAATATGAAATTACATATAAAGATTTCAACTGCAGATTCTAGGAACGAAAATAGTAAAAAAGTTTATATAAACATGGGTCCAGAAATGGCCCATATCTGAAGGTGAGCCCGAGATGAAGGTTTTGACCCAAATTCTGTAGATTTAATATTTCGAAATTTTGATCAGGGGCGTGAGAAATAGGGGCTATAGATACTTTGAACATTATAGGGATTCCCTTTCGTGCGCTGCAAGCGATAAAAAAAATTATTCAGTTTAAGGAAAACGCACTATTTTTATTATGCAGCAGAATTCTGAAATCGATTTATCTGGAAAACAGTGCATATGCTATTGAATCTCGAGTCGAATCTAAACAATCAAGAGTAGGGGTACCACTTTTAAGTAAAAATGTTGAGATTTCATTATACAGGGTGAGTCAAAATGTGTACCCAGCTTCCTGGAGGTAATAGGACATTGAAAAATAAGTATAGTTGTTATAATGTGTGTTTTTAGAGAGTGGGTCATGATTTTTTGAAGACAACATTTTTCCTTTTTTTTTTTTTTTTTTTGTGAAAAATAGTATTGGATAGAACGAAAGAGATTACATAAAATCGGTACTCTTATCAAAATAGATATTCGAGTTTCCGTAGTATCGCAGATGAATTCATCGCGAGCTTCTTGGCCGGACGCCATCTCTACTTTTCTTTTATAAACATCCCTTCTCACGAAATCTTTGCACAATCCTCAAATTGTTCTAGAATTTGGAACGCATCGAGCGGGAAACATCTATGCATAATAACGTGCCATTTCTTAAAATCCCAGTTGAAAATCGTATTAATAATATTACCAAGCAGAAAAACTAAACGAGGAAATTAACAATAACAATGTTCATGTATAAACGTCAAAATTAAGAACAAAAATCATGGCTTCCTGAAATATTGTTACCGATGAACTATTCTGTTGATATCATGTGACTACTAAAACATAAATATATCTTTTTCGCTCTATCAAATGATCCAATTTTTTCATCAGAGTTTATGACCTGTGTTATTTCTTATCAATTACTTACCTAAGAATAATATCGTTTTCCTTAAGATTTGTCATTGAATGAATGAATGATAACAACCCCAATGGAGTTATTCAAAACAGCCTTTTTGTTATTAATTATTTTCAAATGTGTCGCGTTTTTCAGAATAACTTTTGAACATGAACAATTTGATAACAATTAATATATACCCTTACTTTGATTATAAATGACCCCTCCCCTACCATCCTATTTCTTTTGATCCATGACTTATATGGGACACCCTGTATATCTTCCTGGATATACATTTTAGGTCATTAGTTCATCAAACTATAGGAACTTATTTTTCAATGTACTATCACCTCCAGAAAGCTCGGTACACATTTTTGATTCACCCTGTATATTTCATGGTCTAACTACCGAAAATTGCATGAACAAAAAAATTGGGAGAAAAATTACCCCAATAACCTATCCTATTTTCCACTACTCTGATCAAAATTTCGAAATATTCTTATCATTTTCAAATTGTACATAAAGCGAGGGGTAATAAATCTCCAGGAAAAATGTGTACACCAGACTTCCAATGACCAGAGACTTCCAAAGACTTCCAAAGATTCCCAAAGACTCCCAAAGACTTTCAAAGACTCCCAAAGACTTCCAAAGACATCCAAAGACTTCCAAAGACATCTAAAAACATCCAAAGACTTCCAATTACATCCAAAGAATTCCAAAGACTTCCAAAGACTTCCAACGGAGTGTACACCAGACTTCCAAGGAGATTTACCCCTCGACATAAAGAGTTAGATATGCATGTACAAATTTAGTATTTTATCACAGGGTTTCGAAAATATTTACAAAAAACTTCATCTAGAGCTGGCCTTATTTTGCTATAACCCGCCCTTTTTCAACTATTTTTGTTCTTAGAATCCGCAGTTAAAATGTGATTTCCGTACACCCTGTACATAATAATATGGTAACAAAAATATTATGCTTGTGTATAGATATCGAGATAGATATATTCCATTATTCTCCTAGTTTCTCACTTTTTTGTTACAATATGGAATTTTCATTATTGAGACTTGATATTTTTTTGACTAGCTGGTACAACTGTACAACTCATGTAAAAAATGAAATATTGAGTGCGATAAAGCACCTAGCTCGAATCGCAACTTCTGATAAACGTCGAATTCAGAAAAAATGGTGACTCCCACAAGGCTATTGAAACCTCGATTGAAACACCCTGTATATATCATTTGAAATTTAGGCGACAATATGTTCTAAAGTCTGAGTCGTTGTCTGGGCTTCAAAGCCTTCATCAATTAAAATTTTCGTCACATTTCATGTTGGTAATCTAACGTGTCGTAACGAATCACGTACGTTTTATGAATGGGTGATTGAATTAAGTTCTAGACAATGATTCTTTTTTCATTGTTATGTTTAGCTACCTTGCACCCATACACTTTTGTTTTCAAAGTATACATAGATATATAATCGTAGAGGTACCATGGGCGCCCCCCCTGGATTTTATTTTTTTTGTGTTCTGGTTCCCACGAAAAGGGATATCCTGTAATGTTCAGAGAACATCGTGAGAACCAAAGGAAATAAGGTAGGAATTGGTGTTCTTTTGGAGGTTATATGGCTCGGGGAACACCTCCCTTGGCAATGTGTTCCAGAGCCTCGCTGTTAGTTGGATGAACGAGTCTTTGGAAGGAGATGTTCTGCAGGTCTTCAAAGTGACCACGAAGGAGTGCGAAGCCTCAACTCGACGGGTTGATCTCGCGGGGACTGCCAAGGGAGGAACAATTGTTGATATTTCAGAAGAGCATCGTCCTTGAAAATATCTATAAAATAGGGCCAGATCGCCAACTTTTCTACGGTGTACCAGAGAAGTGAGTGAGTTTGTGAGCGAGGCATCACCCACGAGACGAATTGTTTTTTTTTTTTGGACAGAATCCATCAGTGTCAGGGTATGATTGGGTGCTGCACTCCAAATATGGGAACAGTATTCCAGGACAGGTCCGATCTGTGCCTTATAGATCACAAGCAGCTGACTGGATGTGAAATATCTCCTATACTATGTCTCGCTTTCGAGAGTCTGATCATGCGAACCACTAATCACTATAGGCTTCAGTCTTAACATAAATAGCAGACATGTTAAATATCAGTTAGACAATCAACTTGAATCTTTCAACCATGTGTCCTTTTATTTTTGTGATATTTTTGTTTTCGCAGGCGTGGTTAATCAAAATTAACAATAATAAGATTCACAAAATCAATCTTATTTCATTTTTCTTATTGTAACTATAGTTATCTCAGTATCTGGTCTATTTATTCCTTATATAACTGCATCGGGCAAGTTTGTTATTCATTTTGACAATTCAATTAATACACTACACTGTTTTACCACTAACCAAACCGATTTTTTAACGCCTCGACACGTGTTTCGCTAAATATGTTAGCATCTTCAGGAGAAGATTAAAACTGTTTGAATCTGAAGATGCTAACGTAGTTAGCGAAACACGTGACGAGGCGTTAAAAAAATCGGTTTAGTTGTTGGTAAAACAGTGTAGTGTATTATCGTGCCAAAGGTTCCAGTCTTCGAAATATAATGTAATGAATGTATATTAAATCCAGTGGGCCTCTGTAGTTTTGGTCGATTTGGATAGTCTTCGAGTGGAGATATCGAATTCTTTTTTTTTGGTCCAAGTAAACTTGACATTCATAATTCGATTTTTGTTGCCTCTAAGAAATTCAAATTTCCAGGTGAACAAACTGAATTTCAAATCATTTTACCACACCTTCATGATACTCCGCTGACAAACCAATTTGAAGGCATTTGACCTTGAACAAAAAATTTCACCTGTGGCGCTTCTTTGTCATATTGAACAAAATTTGAGAGGTTTCTAATTTTTTTTATTCATCAACTGAGCTATACTCAATCTACTCTTTCGTAATATTTTTAAACCAGACTATATAGTAGTGAAAATTTATCAAAAGGATTTTAATTTCATTTTATCGCAAATGCTTTGGATTAAGAAAAAACGCCACCCCTCGCGCCACCCCCTGAAATTTTTACTGGCGGCGCCCATGAGAGGTATGTATACCTCATTAGGAAGATTCGTGTTTTGTCTCGTGTTAGGCCATTGTTTACGCCTAGTGGCTTTAGATATATACAGGGTTGTCCACATTATTCGTTGTTGCACTATTGCGAGCAAGCACTATTGCTATCTTGCTGAAACGGTTAGATATAGAAAGTTGGCTAAATCAAACAAAAGTTGCACATTTATGGGATATACAGGGTATATACTGGATATACAGGGTGTTTCTGGAGTACGTGTAGCAAATTCAGGAGCATGTTGCTGGCGTCAACATAAGAAGAAAAGTTTGTATAAATATATGTCCGAAAGTTCTTCGTTTCTGAGATACAGAGTGTCAAAGTTGAATTCTTATTTTTGTTTTTTGTTAATAAATTTCGAAATAATTGTGATATTCGAATAAATTTTGGTATCTAGGGGTGTTTTTCAATGATACTATCAAATTTTATGTTGATTTGTTTCCTTCGTGGGGTGGCACCACCTACATGTGTTTTGAGTCTTTTGAAAAGTCATAACTTTTTTGTGCGTACCTGTATCACGTTTTATGATGGAAAAATAGATTTTCAGAACACTTTTGTGTAAAAAATATATTCCTGGTAGAGATCGCTGCGAGCAACTATTTTCGAGTTATTGATGGGATTTGAAAAAATCGATGCGTTTGAATTATTTCCATGGGGCACGTTATCACCTCTAAGTAGTAAATATCAGAAAAGATACGCCAGTGCATTTTCTTCATCCATTCAATATTCTCCTACATTCAACATTGGAATATCAGCAAAAAATGATTCTTACTTCTTTGTACCTCCTTTTTTGGACTCTTACAATTTAAAAAAATTACAATCGAATGAAGGATTCCCTAATCATCGACTGCCGAATCACCAGACATTCATAAACCCTTTTCAGCGTCTTATGGAGTCTGGATCCTTTAAAAAAGCTCTAGTGATAGGCAGACCGTTGACTACTAGGACTCTAGAAATAGAAGAAGCTGATGTTCTTTAGGCAATTGAAGAAGATCCACAGACCAGTACGAGAAAAATTTGGGGAAATCTTACGAGCCCCATGGAAATAATTCGAATGCAACGATTATTTCAAATCCCAATAACTCAAAAACAGTCGCTCGCAGCGACCTCTAGCAAGAATATATTTTTTACACAAAAGTGTTCTAGACATCTATTTTTCTAATTTTAAACGTGATGCAGGTACGCACAAAAAAGTTATGACTTTTCAAAAAACTCAAAAGACATGTAGGTGGCGCCACTCCCACGAAAGAGACAAACAAACATAAAATTTGATATTTTCATTGAAGAACACTCCTAGATACCAAATTTCATTCGAATATCACAATTATTTTGAAATTTATTAACAAAAAACAAAGATAAAAATTCAACTATACGAACTTTTCTTCTTATTTTGACGTCAGCAACATGCTCCTGGATTTTCTACACGTACTTAAGAAACACCCTGTATATATGGAGTATGTGGAGAAAACGAAGATATCATGAGCCGTTCCCTAGATAATTAAGATTTCACAACTTTACTGTCAATATTTTGGTGGTAAACATTCATTCCCGAAAGCCCGTTTTACGCAAATAGTAATATTGTAAGATACTTATTGTAACGCTTTTTATTGAATACGACTGTTTATACAAACATGGCATTCCATTTGAAAAAAGTGACCCCGACTATACAGATTTTTTACGGTTTGCCCTATAAATGCGGCAATAATTTCTAGTTACGGACTTTGTTGTCTCATTCTCATTCGTATGTGAATCAAGTTTCTAGCTATAATAGAACTCGAGCAATCGAGCTCCGACGCACTATTGCCCCACCACCCTGTATATTATGATGCGTTTGAGTTACGCAAGTAATAGCGAAAATCTTGTAACTTGGCTACGCTTTACATGATTTTTTCTCGGATTTTTTTATTTTCCGTTTTTTTTTGGGCCATTCTTTTATCGAAGATACGGGTACTATTATTGAATCAAGTGTGCTATTTGAGATCCCAGCTGATGGACATTAATTTTTGGACACTGTATAAGTTTGACACTGGAGCTCGAAATCAATTTTGCAGAATAATTCAAATTAGATCCAACAAGATTAAGTCTTGAACAACACATATGAATACCATACCCTTGTTATTACCTATACAGTGCTAGTCAAAAGTCCCCTCCCCCCCTCGTATCTTTTGAACGGGTATACTTATAATAATGAAATTTGGAGGGTGGAAATAAACGGATGTAGGCTTCTCAACTGGTCATAACAGGTGACGCAATAGTCATAAATGACGTCACAAGGCCATTATTATAAGTATACCCGTTCAAAAGATACGAGGGGGGGAGGGGACTTTTGACTAGCACTGTATATTACCTTATTATACCTATATATTATATTTTCTATATACCTGCAGGCACCTTTATTGCCTAGTCAAACTGATTTGAACCCAAGTTTAAACATAATAATGCAGGTATAGGTATGTATATGTTTAATAGCCGATACAATTTGATTAGATATAGGTATATGTATATACAGGGTGTCCAAGAAAATGTGGGAAATTTGCTCTCGAACGCAGACATTACGCAATATTACTTAAGAATTTATTCATGAAAAACAGATTTTCAGCGGCTATTTTAAGGGGCCCTTGTTGTCATAAGGAGGACCTAGAAATAGATGGTAGGAATTTGCCATTTTTCCCGGATACCCCGGCGTATACCCTCTGTATACCAATGTACGTTATTCGTACCTATACTTACCATACCCTTGATAGATTAGTTATATTTGATTGAACAACCTTTCAAAAAGGTACAATCTTATTCTGCTCGCGTTGACATTTTTTGCATTATCCACCAAGATAAAATGTATTTATCATGATTCACCTATAGGTTAAAAAAGTGTTAACTTCTCAGTGGAAATTCTTGAATAATGGTGATTACGCAGGTTAGTGGTGCAAATAGTTAGTTATTTATGTATCAAGGGGGTGAGTAAATTAGGCTTTTATGGACCGTATAGCGTGTTGCATTTAGAGATTTATCGGCACACTCTGATGTAAAGCAGGACTAAAAGTATTTCAGGTAGATTATTGGAAATGATTTAGTATAACAGCAGACCTACCAATTTTCTAGTTTTAAATCCAATTGCAAGTTTGAAAACTTCTCAAGTGTGGCCTTTGTATTATACATTATCTCGTATAGGTACTCGTATACAGGGTGTCCCAACATTTCTGGGACACAAAGCTCTACCACGTGTAATATAGATCAAAATAAGTTGATTGAGCCCAATTTATTACAATGAAATGTACCGTTTGTCCGTGAGCGACGAGTTCAAAGTTTAAATAGAGAAATACATTTTTGTTTGCTGTTCAAAATTGAGTAAAACAAATTGCGAGACAAATTGTATGAAATTTGACAAAAGTGCATTTCAGAGGATGGCCCTTCTTTCAGTGACCAAAGAAACCCAAAAGAAATGGCAAGAGTTGAAACCACCCTTTTACCCCCTGAATTTTTTTCAGAACATTCTTAGGGGTGGTAATAGGGTTTTCAATTTTTTGAGCGAGATGACTGATTAATTATCTTCATTTTGTTACTCTTGCGAAAGTTCCGAAGGAAAAAAATGTTTTCTTAAATAATGCTAACAGATATTTCTAGTAATAGTTTGATAAAATTGTAATACAAAATTAGTTGGCAGTGGAAACAAAGGAATTGACATTTTTATTGATGAAGCAGGTTAGCGTCATATTGAACATTAATTTTGAAAAAAAAGGTTCTGCCATTATTATTTCCAGTGTCCAATAATTTTTTTATTATAATGATATATTAAACTTTCACTAGGAATATATCTCTCGGAATATCTGTTGAAAATTTGTTTTTTTCTTCGGAGCTAGTTATGCAGAATACGAAATTTTCACAAGAGTAACAAAATGAAGCTTAGAGAATAACCCTTTTACCGCCCCTGAGAATGTTCTGAAAAAAAAAATCAGGTGAGGGAGTTTATGTAAACTTCAAACTCGTTGCACGGACACACGGTACGTTTTTTTTATTTGAATAAGTTGGGTCCAATCTACTTATTTTGAACTGTATTACACACGTGGTCTATGATGGGTCCCAGCAATTTTGGGACATCCTGTATATTATTATTTATTGCTTACCATCAATTTCATAACTTCTCCACCCGTAGGCGACATTCAATTCCTTCTTTCCATCGAATAACCCGAAATGTATTTTTCCATCGCTCTCCAATGGATTTTTGATCCTTTTTGCCTTGGCACTTATCCAATGTTTCGTGCCCAAACTAGCCACCAGCAAGGCCATCGAAATACAGGCCACGAAAAAGGTGACAAAAACCAATCCCCTCTTGAAGTAATCCATTTTTAAGTCATTTTATCGAAGAAATACCACACTACAAGAGGAATATTTCTTTGAACACGCACTATATTATCTATTGAGAACCATCGATGCTTGAATCCTGTATGTATATTATGGTTAGGTTCTTGTCTGATCTAACGTTGAGGTCACCAAAATTCATAACTTAAGTATCTGAACCGTCGTCCTTTTTAGGCTAGTATATTAAGTATTAAACTGGTTGGGTTCGTCTTGTCCTACATACTTGAAATTTCACGAATCTGTTTAATTTCAACCAAAACTTGGGGTCCCAGATTTCTACAAGTGCTTTCATGCCACTTTTCACAACGTTATCACTTCCGGATGCATGTACGGGAAAAATAAGTATTCCTAGCAAAAACTGATGACGAGATTGATTTTATAGTCGTAATAGGTATTCGATAAACTGTGTGTAACACTACGAAGTCCGAGATGAACTGACTAAAGATAAAGAAAGTTATATTCTAGTCACACCGAGCACCAAGTTTTACTCTTGCATTTTGTTTGCTATTTGCACCACTACGTGACTTTGTAGTTTGTAGTGAATGGTCAGGACCGTATTTGATATTGAAACTCCACACATAATACTCACCTCAACTATTCGAGATACTTAAGTAGGATGGGAGGGACTAAGTAGGTAATCCCATTCCGACTCAAATAAAGAAAATACCTTATATACAGTGTGACCCACTTAAGACCGGAGCACCCTCATAAAATCTATATAGTTTTTGACCGATTTCTTTTTTTTTTCGTTTCAGCAGAAGGACTATCCGGAGATCTACGTTTACACAAATTTGCAAAATAAAATTTCAATCTACACGGCCATACTATATTATTTTTTTCATGTTAAAAATTGCGAAATATCATTAGCGATTTTTTTGAGAAAAAATCGACCCCACCACTGAATTCAGCATCCTTCAATTAGGTTGAGCGCAAAATTTCATTGAAAATTTTCAATTGGCAACAAAGTTATAACAACAATGATTTTGATGGCTCACCATTTTTTATGAATATTTCAGACAAATTCTGAGATGCGGCAACATTGTTAACACAAATGTTGGAAATCATCGAGGTTTCTGGTATACATTCGAATTGATAACACAAATTATTATCGAGTTATAATCTCTAGAATGGTACCTTTTTGGAATGAAGTAATGAAGTCGGAAAAACAGCTTTTCATAATAAGTTAATTATCAATGTAAACCAACAATTTCTGAAAGCTCTTGATGTTTTTGGCTTCTGATATTATCTTACTATACAGACTATCCGATTTTCTAACTATTTTTCGACGTTATGGATTTTTCATTTTATGAATCTTTCCATGAATACCAAGATAAATTCCATTTCAGATGTTATAACTCGATAATAATTTGTGTTATCAATTCAAATCTATACCAGAAACCTTGATGATTTCCAACATTTGTGTTGACAATGTTGCCGCTTCTCAGAATTTGTCTGAAATATTCATGAAAAATGGTGAGCAATCAAAATTAATGTTGTTATAACTTTGTTGCCAATTGATATTTTTCAATGAAATTTTGCGCTCAACCTAATTGAAGGATGCTGAATTCAGTGGTGGGGTCGATTTTATTTTGAAAAAATCGCTAATGATATTTCGCAATTTTTAACATAAAAAAAATAACATAGTATGCCCTGTAGATTGAAATCATATTATTCAAATTTGTGTAATCGTAGATCTCAGGATAGTCCTTCTGCTGAAACAAAAAAAAAAGAAATTGGTTAAACAGGTTATAAGGGTGCTCCGGTCTTAAGAGGGTCACACTGTATATAGGTATACCGGGTTACGACCTGCAAACGAAATCATTAGACAGGGGATATACAGGGTGTATATAAATAACACCGAAAAAATTCGAGGGGTGCGTTTTCGAGGTATTAATATTTCCATGAAAAATCTTTTTTCTATTCATTTCTCAATTGTCTTTTCATCAATTTCAATAAAACGTTGTGGTTCTGTTGATAGTAATATGGAGCTTCTTCTAGTGCAATTAGATTCGAAATAATATTTCCAGTGGCGTCACAGTGGGTAAATTTTTCGATATTCATCGTGAATGTCATTGTACACCACCGGTTTTTCTGAGATTCATATTTTTATCAGATTGAACTATTGAAATAACAACTTTTTTATCCTTTGTGTGATTTTTCTATCTAGCTTAGTTTTTGAGGAAACAATAAAAATTCGATTTGACTCCAAATTTTAATGTATAGGTGTTTTCAAGAATTCCATTGAGATTACTCAATAACCCCAATTAGAATCATTTTGAAATTTTGGGGCTTTGTCAGTCTCCATCCATACTGAATTTTGGCAACATGAAAGCTTATACAAAAAGCTTCCTATCAAAACCCATCGAGGATTTTCAATGGAACCCTGTAGATATTTTTGCGCCAATCCTTTCAAATGACATATCACAAGTGAGCATTTATTGTAAACATGGCGATGCAGAAAACAATTTTATAAATGACGGGAAATGTCATCTTGAAAATTGAACAAAAAACGAAAAGAAAATCAAGTATACCTATACGCCGGAAATTTTTACAGAGGTGACGTCAGAATTGATAGAACCTATAACAACAATACATATATGTATATTCCTCAAACTGTAGCAGAAATTTTATTTCGATCCCTATATTTTTTTATTGGTGCCATTTGATAGTATTAAATATTTATTTGAATTTATTTCAATGTCACCCTGTATACAGGGTTGGGCAAAAGTCTGGAATAAAATTATCAGTTGTTCTTCTATTGGTGTTATAAGTTTGGGGAAGGTATTGAACACTTCTTCGGTTTTGAAATAGATTTCTTGTTATTTTTTAAAACACGAAATAAAAAAACAAAAATAAGGTATGGTAAAGATTCCATTTTTTGCGAGTTCTTCGTCGAGCCAATATTCGACAGTATATCCATTAAAAAAAACAAGTTGGATAAAGTGGCACCTAAGAGGGGTTGAAGAAAAATATTCAATTCCATTCCTAAAAAATGAGTAGAAATTAGAATGAACTGACGGGTCCGAACGTTTCTTCCCAAGTTATTACTGGTTCAGAAATTATGAATTTCAATCCGGACCTTTTCCAACCCTGAATAAGTACTTGTGTTTCCATATTCTCAAGTTATAGACAATTTGGTTCCTTTTAAAATTTCTACACGAGTGAACAAAATGAATAATTAAGTTCTTAATCCGTCCCTGTCCTCATCGAATTTCGTTGGACTCCGGAATTCCTCGTTCAACCGCACAGCGGACCGTCCTGAAAACGTGAGGCTGTTAATTAATTCAGAATACCTTACGTCTTCAATCTATGCCTTACGTGTTTGAAATTCATTATTTCTGTCAGTCAGGCAATATTTTTCATCCATTCATTTATAACTATTGCACCTCTATAACATAGATTAATCTATGTCTATAATAAGAAATTTACAACGTTTGTAGAGGCAGGTACCTACCTATTTTGGTCTCCCATTCAGGTAAAACTTGCTTCCAGGTAATATTGTCCGGTTTTCTGTGAGTCTTGTTCTTTTGCATCGCAGTAGATTCCAGGTGGATCATATTTGTGAATAATGTAACACCCCCATGCAGTGTTTCATTTCTAGTTTTTGTATATTTCGTCGTTGATTTTCCTTCGTGTTGATATACAGTCCTAGGACAACAGTTCCTGGTGCCTAATAGTCGTTTTTGAAATTTTGACCCCTTCAACAAACAAAAGTAGGCCTTGAAAATCTGAATATTTCAAATTTGTCCACATTTTCGAATAGAGCTCGTTGAGTAGCATATTATGGAATTTTTGTTTCTGAAAATCGGTCGACGGGTTCCGAATTAGGAGGGTATTGCGGGATGAAATCGCACACACTGTATATAAGATCCTGTTATATTTCCATATAGGATCCTGTTTTATTCCTATATAGGATCCTGTTCTATATTAGGCGAGTCATTTGAAAGTATTGAAACAGTTTTAGTTGGAGAGCCGGGTCGGTTATACAGTGTTTTTCACTTAAAACTCCGCACGCCTATATCTGGAAAACGAATATAAATATTTAATTTCTGTACAAAGTAGTCGATGGATGAGGTCAAGTTGATTTGTTTCGGAGTTCGAAAGATTCAACGCCTACTAAGAGCTAAGCGTCGCGACACGTCGAAATGGGCGTGTACACCTTAGTAGAACTTTTAACTCAAACCATGTTTATAATGATCCTTTTATACATAAATAATGATTGACGACATAACTCGATCGAAAAATTAACTGGAATGTTTTATTTTTGGACATAAATAATAGTACCATCTGAAAACGGACCCTCTTATGACGTAAAACCTCATCTCGCCATAGTTAAAAGAAAATACTAAAATCCCGACGGAGACTGAGGCAACTGATATATTAATTCTTTCAACTTGAATCTCGCGCTAATTCACTCTGTCAGAAATCATGTATCATCCATCTCTGTCTGGAATAGTCTTGTTTCAGTATTAGGGTTTTGACGTCACATCATCGCCTCGTTTTCAGAGGTCCGAAAAATCGGGGATTTCAATAATTTTTTATAAAACGTAGGGAGCTCACAGCAAGAAACGGTTTGCGGTGGTGAGCTAGTTTGGGTGAGTTCTATCGAATTATGAAATAATTTTTTTTTGTGATATAAGCCCATTACGCGCACTCAATAGAACATGTTGATGAACGATTTATCTTGTCCTTATCTACAATTTTTGTTAATGTTTTTTTGTCCGGGGCGAAATTTGTCAGCCCCTGTAGCGCCACTGTGCCATGGGTTACGGCAGGATCGGACACAGTGCAGTGCACAGTGAGTTTTCCTAGTGGTACTCATTGAAATGCACATCTCGTGATTTTTTATGTGTGCGAGAGAAAAAGGTAGGTTTTGAAAAAAATTCTCTTGGTTATTATTCATAATAAATACTTTCGGCAAGATTTGCTCCGGCACAGTTGCCGTTTCGTGGATATGTTCTTCATGAACAATCCTGTAGAAAACCTTATAATCGTCCGGGGGTATATAAACCAACCCGGCTCTTGGACTATTTCAAAATATAAACTCGATTACCAGGGGTCAGGCCGTGTTGAAGGCGGCGAAATTTGCCGATTTCGTTTTTATTTTTTTCTGACGTTATTTAAAGAGATATAGGAAAACGAAAGAAACATTCTCATTGACACTTTTCAAGCACTACAAAACAGCGTTTTGAGATTTAAACAGGGTATACTTTTTTTTCACGAGCCATATAAAAAAAGTGTTGATGATGGTTTCCCCGAAACAAAATGTCTTACGGAAAATCTCTCAAAACTGATTTGTAGAGCATCGCCCTTGCTTCTCAGGTAAGGCACTAGCCGTTCGATATTGAAGGAGGTTTTTTGTTTTATACATTTTATTTTTCCTCCAAAAACCGGAAACACTCCCTACACTGATCACGTATGAGCAACTCCCCCACCCCACTGGGTACCCACAGTGAGATTACCTTTATAAAGGGCCTAGCCCTAGGAGATAGGTCTCTGCGAG